AAAAAAAAAAAAAAATACAAAAAAAGTGAGAAAGATCAATAATCAGATCATCTCCCGTCCTTATCTCTCTCTAGTGCAGAGTTTACTCTACTCTAAAGTAGAATTAACCAAAAATCAAATTCGTTCTCCAACCGTTCGCACTACATTCTACTCTACATATATTATTCATATTATTTTAATTTATTTAATATATCAAAATATTATTTAATTAGACATATTGTTGTATAAAATAAAATATATCATGATATTAGTTGGTCTTTAAAATATTGTTCTACAAAGAATTATTATTTTTATGTATTATTTGATTTATTTTATAGTAATTCCATAATTTATTTTTTTATAATAATAATTTTATATAATTCTCAAACTAAATTATAAATTTAATGGTAAAAACATTGTCAAATAATGAATTTTAAGATAAATCAATTACATATAATAAAAAAAATAAAAAAAAAAAAAAATTGTAGAGTAATGAATAGTACCGCGTCAGATGTAGCGTGATACTGTTCATAACTCTAGAGTAGTACGGAGATGTAACGCAGCGTTGGAAAGCAATTTTGTCTCTACTCTAGTATTATACGCTAGAGTAGCGCAGCACTGAAAATAATAATTATTATTATTATTATTATTATTATTATTATTATTATTATTATTATTATTATTATTATTATTATTTCATTTCTTTTTTAAAAAAAATAAATAATTTTATCACCATATGTTGCTAGTCCCCGGGAGCGCCTCATGGCGTGTCTATTAGAATTAGAAAACCTGAAAAAACAATAAAAGAGGAAGCAAAAAAATGTACGGCGGCCAAAAGAAGAACCACGCGGAGCACAAGCCCGGCGGGGCTCCGCCCGCCGCCAGCCCGCGGATCTCCTTCTCCAACGACTTCATAGAGGCCGGAGGGTCCAGGGTCGGCGCGTACAGGGACGCGCCGGTATCCGACTTCGAATTCTCCGTCGGCGGCTACTCCATGATGACCGCCGACGAGCTCTTCTTCAAGGGCAGGCTACTGCCGCTCAAGGAGGGATCCGCCGCCAACACCGCCGCCGGGAGGACGCTGAGGGACGAGCTCGAGAACGGCGGCGACGAAGAAGGCGACGGCGGGGGAGGATTCTCGCTCCGGCCGCCGAAGAATCCGGCGAAGTGGAGGGGGTTTTGGGGGCTCCGGAAGTCGAATATCGGGTCGAAGAAGGCTGAGATGGGCGGCGAGAAAAGGACAGCTGGCTGTAATAACAACACTACCCATGATGACGAGGATGTCCAAGGCACCAAGGATTCACAGGTTTTTAATTTTTATTTTATTTCAAATTTATATATTTATTTTTGTAATATTTTGGCATTTTTCATTTATAATAATTTTAATATTTGGGCAGGATTTGGTTGATTGACTAATGATGGAGGGCTCAAAAGACATGCAATCATATTGTCTTGGCCTTTTTTAGAGAGATTTGCCAAATTTTGGGGGACCAAATTGGAAATTAATTGGGAAGATATATCATCTGGTTTGTGTACTGTTGATGAATTGTGTGGTAAGCTAATTGTATTTGGAGTTAATTGAATTTTTTTTTTTTTAATATTCCCTAGTTTTTTTATTTTTATTTTTATTTTCATTTTTATTGTAGTATTTTTTTTTTTTTTTTTT